GAAATATGCCTGCCCCACCCAAACACTACAGCGTCTTTGATGTTTTGGCCGGTTTTCAAAGTTTTTGCGAACTGGAAAAGTTAGGGTCGCATTAGGCAATGTGCCCCGATGACCACATTCACACCAAACTTTGCCAAGTTCGACCCATGCCTTAGGTTAACCATATGAAGAACGCAATTCAAACCTGTTCAAAAAACCGGTCTTAATTTACCAACAAAACAACTTTTCATTCGGCAGACACATGAGCATTTTGCTTCTTTATCACACAAAACAAGTAGATACCATGTATCCAGGCGTCTGTTCGGAGATAGATCAAACTGAGTACGTCAAAATATGATAAGGAAATCAGTGACACATGAGGCACATATTCTTACCACATTTGGTCCCATCTGTGATATACTATTGAACAGATGCACGGCAACATGGGATCTCTGATAAGCAAAACATTCACCCAGAAATAATTAAAAAAAAAATAATCACTTAAGCAGCCGTTCTTTGCCACGTCAGGCAACAAAAATGGTAAAAAATTGTTGACTGACGATTTCAAATGATATGACGTGCGATAAGTCACTTCTCTTTCTTGAAATGCTAACTTGATGAAAGTTTTTCCTGATGATACCCTGATGTCTCTTTTAAGTTTCTTTGTACGTTTTAAAATGTGTAATCTCTTCATCGTCCCGTTAAACGAACGAGACACTGCACTCATGGATGGGAACTTTGGCTAATTTACAGATGGTTTCTAGAAATACATTGTCACCAAGTTAGAACAATGTAACTACGTCAAACTACTCAATCACTTTGCTGTTTTAAAACCCCAGATAAGGAAAATTGCCTGTAAATTAAAAAAAAAAAATTTTGTAATCATACACTTTCGTTTTGATTTGTCAAACAGTTATGATAAAACAGCCCCTCAATGAAAAAACATCCTTCAACTAAGCCGCCCAGAAATGACAAAATCTTGCCATTTAAGTTTAATAAAATTGTAAAAGGAATGAAAGGGAAGACCAAGTTCACTGAACGATCATTTGATCTTCACTTTCAATGGTTTATTTCGTCGGGTTTAAATATTTTACCCGGCCAAATTCTCTGGTTTAGCCCGAAAAATGCATTATAATGCCTGGCAGAGCGTGAAAAGAACAAATATCTGCTTAACTGTTTGCCTTTGCGACGACAACAGTTTACAAATATTGTATGGTACATTAACAGCTGTAGTGACTTCGGTCACGTTCGCCGAACTGGAACACTTAGTTCCGGTTGACTTAAGAATGTCCTGTTTTCAAAGGTGGTTCTTGGCAACAATAAGCAGAGTGTCAAAAATGACACACGAGCGACGAAATCACACCTGTAATTTTCAGTGCAATAAAACAACAACAACAACGGCAGATTCACTTCTAAAAATTCTTCAAATTTGGAGAATCGAGATTTTAACGACTGCGAAAGTAAAAGTAATGAAAACAATCTGCGAGAAGCGACTTTAAGTGCCATCGTAATTACATTGGGAAATTGTTATCACCCTGTCGAACTATTGTTTGTTTACATTTTCACTGAGTGACATGTGTCAGGTGTTGAAATCATGCTGATGTACACGTGACCCCCACTATAAATGAGCATCAATTTCTCCTTTCAAGTCAAAACGGTGCGACTGTGAACCAAAACGAAGCGGCTGCATCGAAAAGGAAACAAAAACAGCAACATCCCCACGAACTTCAAGATGACTATTCAAATGTCTTTTAACTTACTAGGGTTAGCCCTTTTATGTGTAATAGTCTCCATGTCTTCGCGAATCTCTGAGGAAATCCAAAAGGGCGTTTTACTTACAACTACGGTTCGACTACTACACTTGATTTCCTTCGGAACCTGGTTCGGGATGCAGTTTTGGGTGACATTCATTGCTGGTAAGTAAGATGTCTATTTAACATTTTTTTTTCATCAGTAAGAGTAAAATTTTCCCTTTTTACAAGATCGAAAATGTAGAAGACATCACGATCGATCTAACGGTTAACGATATGTAACGAAATCTTCTGATCTGTCATGATTTTAAACCTATATTTAACCGCAAGCCATTCGCAGAGATACGTTTCTGGGAAAATGCTCGAAAAATTTAATCCTATTTGTCTTAGTACTTATTAAGAAACCTTTGTGTCGCACGGAGGCGATCATTTACCGGCAATGGACTCGGGCTTCAGCGTGTACAGCAAAGCATAAGAGAGCTGAAAAGACAAATGTTTCGAACATGAAGTAAAAAAGTTATTGTTGAAAGAAATATCTCGGTAGTGGAGTAGCGGAGGGCAAGGGTACGTTTCGACTAGAACGAAAAAGGCGCGGGTTCTTTATCTCTTGGTTAACAATAATACTCTGTTCTAAAAGTCTGCAAGTTGACTCGTTGTTAGTTTGCTTTGTTTAACATTGTAAATAAGTCCAAACGCTAGGCTGCAGAAGTCGTGCGGGTATTTGCTCCCCCCCACCCATCCCCTTCCCGTTGCGTTCGAACACAATAACTATTTTGTTTTGACTTTAATGACTGTTGCGTCCTTACAGCCTGTTCGCACCACGCGATATTTTGTTTGTTTTGCAAAAAAATCTGTCAACGGGAAACCATTTTCAGTGCGAACATTTTTTTTTGACCCACCAAAATTTTCGCAAGTGCCACTAAACTTCAAAGATGACGACAACTAACTTTAGAGGCCTACAATTTTTTGTCGGGCGAGAAGATCGATTGTTTCTTGACAGATACCCTTTAACTGGTCATCATCTTTCATAATCGGTACCAGGCAGAAGGGTATTATGCACGTGACCCCATTACCGAAATGCTTCACGAACGGTAGTTTTTCCCACGTTCATTTCAAGGGCTATAGGTGGTTTGCAACCAATCTCTAGAGACATAGGTAACAACGGTGAAAGGAACAAAGGCTGGTGGACGAACAAAAGAAGCTAATGAGATATCTATTGTTTACGTCCACCAACAGGGCGCCAATTACGTAACGTGCAAACCACCTACAATCGTAAGAGCTGCTACTGTGCTATCCGATATAATCCAATGGCCAAGACCTTCTCTGGCGGTATGCAATCTCGAAATCGAGTGTTCTCTCTCTGAACGTAGTCTCTTAAGAGCGTTAGTAAGTTGTCGAATGACTCTCTCCCCATTCTCAAATGTGTGTGGAAAAAGGTTTCGGGAAAGTTATGCTGGTGCATATGGATTTCCAACCAGGATTCAACTGGTCAAAGAAATGTCCAGTACTGGTGAAAACGACGGCGGCGTTGACGTCTGTTGAGTAGCTGAATTTAAGATTCTATGATCCGTAAAAGCCGAATCCTTCCCAACAAAACCAGAAGTAACTGATGACTAGTCATAATCAGGTTTTGCATGGCAAGCAAACAGCAAAGAAGGGCGATTAAAAAGTTTCTCGGGGGCATTTTGCTTTGCGACAGTCCTTGACCGGAAACGACATCAAAGGAAATTGACTGCTCTCGGTATCTATTTCGATTGATTGACATTTGTGGTTACACGAATAATTTGCACGTCTTAAGTGGCTAATTCTGAAAAAAAAATTCGCTGTTACAGAACTTTCAATTTTTTGCGAGTACCAAACGAATTTTTTCGCTGTAGTGCGAACAGGGCCTTAGTTTGTAAAAAACCACCCAGATTTCATTTCCGTTCTTGAAGTGCAAATCCGTGTCCCAAGCCAAGTGCCAAGAAGGAAGGAACCGAAAAACTGATAGAAAATAATAGAGATTGAAAGGAAAATCTCAACCCTCTTAAAAGATTTAACAAAAATCGCTCTCAAGTAGTTTCAAAGTCAGATTAAAGCACCGCAGCAGAAACAGGTCGTGTTAAAATTTTCTCAAAACACTAAACAATTTCCCAGGATCTACTGATAGAAACGGTATTCAAAACAGACTTATCTGTAGGAATGAAAGTTGCATCGATAAAATTATGTTAGACATTTGAGATGCGTTCAAAAACTTCTAGCTTTTCTGTAACGGAATGAATCAAGGCTGATTAATCGCTAACTAGCTTTGCTTGCCTCAAATTACCTCTCACCGAGCCAGGCTTTTGTCTTCGTCGCTGGAGGTAAAATGTTAACAACATCCTAATCAGCGATTGATTCGCGGAATTTCTCGTGCAATGGTTCGCCCTGAATTCCTTAACTGTTTTAAAAGATGCAAAACTCGCCTTTGAAAATATTCAAACGACAATCAGGCCTGAAATTAAAAGCAGAATTTTGTAATTTTTTTTATGAATTTTCTTCAATATGGAAGATTTCCTTTTGTTCATTGTTGACATTCTAAACGAGTGTAGACAGGGCAAGATTTCCGTATAACCCCATACTTTATTATGCATACAATTACTGGATAAAAGAAAACAGAGCCAAAACAACAGATTACCTTTGGGACGTCTGCTTTGTTTTTGATTGGTATGGGGTTACACGGAACTCTTTCCGTAGACAGAAGTTGCTAAGAGGAACTGAAAAATTATTTGCATTTCTCTGCTGAAATTTCTGCCCTCAAGAAACAAAACGTTATTAAATGGAATACGTCAGAGAGCACATACTTTTAGTTATCTCTGTTAGGAAGGCTCAAAAAATGTTTTCTTTTTCAAGTACGCATTGCATAACGTCCTGTGAACTGTAACACGTGTATTGCTTAGACACGCCGGTGTGATCTTCCGGCTAAATGAATCAGCAAATTTGTGTAAATTGTTTGATCGCTAGAATGATTATTGGGCAAATAGAATTTGAAGGGTTAAACGAAGGGCCAAACTTGAAATAATGGCTAAAAAAAACTATGGTCTCTGGAAGATACATTTCGAGTTAAGGTTTTTTTCGTGAGAAAAGGTCGTCACAAGGAAAAGGGTTATTCAACGAGTTAAACGTGAAATGGAAACAAACTAAGGTTTAAGAAGATTTGTTTCTAGTTGACGTTTTTCCTGTAAGAAAAGATCGCAAAAAGAGGCTAGGAAATCTTGCTTAAACGTGCCCTTTCCTGAGACAAAATACTCTTGAGGTGATATGCGTAGTAACAAGATTATTTGATTTTATCAACTGAGCCTTTCGTCATACGTACTGAAGAAGGGCTAAGCTCGTAACGTCAACTTTACAAACTCTTTACAGAGGTCAATTTACTTTATCAACCCAGTTTACAAAAACAAAATTATCTCGTTAAACTCCCATCGACGTAGCACCACAGTTTCTTACGTCATGAGAACAGACAAGGTTATTAGCTAGAGGGTTTTTTCTTGATTTCAAATGGATTCTCCTGTTTGGTTACCAAGAAATGTTAGGCGGTCAGTTGGGAGAATATCTAATTGGATCGTAGACGTGAAAGGGTTCAAAGCTCTTCACGGTTGCTTGCATACTGGCACGAACACTAAAATGACACCCCTTCATGGCACTTCTGGGGCGGACCCAGGATTTAGTCAAGGGGGTTCGGAAAATTGTCCCCCTCCAGAGGGGTCTGGGATGTTGAAAATTAGGTCTTCGGAAACACGATTTCCAGCGTTCTGAGGGAAAAGTTAGGGGGTTCGACCGAACCACTCAAATCACCCCTGGATCCGCCCCAGCACTTCAAGCCAGACGATAAATTTTTTTGTTTTCTTTTGAAGGTTACAAGATGTACTTCACCCTGACGAGACACACCTTCGGTAACTTACAAAGCCAGCTTTTTCCCGTTTATTTCACTGTGGGCTCCTGTTTATCTACTGTTGCTTTGGCAACATACTATCTTATGCATCCAGTACAGATGTGGACTGGAGACGAAAAACTTCAGGTAAATGACAATGATTTCCGTTAAATTGAGCTCTTTTCCAAATGTTTTTCATCTTCGAGCGTTAAAGTGCACCTATACCCAAAAAATTTTTTTCGCTTAACGAATTAAGCTTATTTTTTGGAGTATTTCTCTGCAAAAATTTCTTAATTTGCTCAAATCTTTAATTTTCTGTGCCCAGTCAAAATACGGAAAATCGGCCGCCATCTTGCCCCACGACCGAGTTTAAAGAGGAATGGCTCTAGCGGGTAATGTGACGTCAAATCGAGAACACGAAAGTCTGCATTTCACACATTTTCACTTGTTTGGGAAGGTTGTCGTCGATATTGTCCGAAATATGCCGACTAGGTGTGTTGTATGAGGAATGTATGAAGCGCGATACCCTCTTGCAAATTTCGCACGTTGCTACATCCTTCTACAACACACTTAGTCGGCATATTTTCGGACAATATCGACTACAACCTTCCCAAACAAGTGAAAATGTGTGAAATGCAGACTTTCGTGTTCTCGATTTGACGTCACATTACCCGCTAGAGCCATTCCTCTTTAAACTCGGTCGTGGGGCAAGATGGCGGCCGATTTTCCGTATTTTGACTGGGCACAGAAAATTAAAGATTTGAGCAAATTAA